ACACCAATTCCAAGGGACCTGACACCTTCACACTAATGCACATAAAATAAAAAATTAAAAAAAGAAAAACCTAAAAAGGGAGGACTATTGCCAGGAAAACGTTTTAGTCGAAGTCATCTCCCCTCTCCCAACCTTACCCCGAGACAACGTTTCACTGTGTAGCCTTGGCTGTCCTGGTACTCTGTAAATCAAGCTGGCCTCCAACTCAAGAGAACTACCTGCCTTTGCTTCCCCTTAAAGACGTGTGTCACCACTGCCCAACAATTCAAGACATCTTAAACCAACTGGAAATTGTTATGATTCCTTCCTCTGTATGCTGAGCAGTTTCTATAATTTGTAAATAAAGTAAATCCAGGAGGCTGGTGAGAATCGGTACCTGAGTTTTGATTTCCAGCATCCATTTAAAAGGCTAGGAATGGTGGAGCACACCTATAATCCACTGCTGGGGAGGCAGAGATAAGAGGATCCTTGGGACTTACTGGTGAGTTGCAGGTTCTGTGAGAGACCCTATCTCAGAAAATGGGGCAGACAGTGACCGAGGAAGACATCCAACAGCAACCTCAGGCTTCACATGAACTCAGACCTGTGTAAGAACAGTGGCTTGTACACATACAAAAGAGAAAGAATAAAGTCATTTCCCACACGTTCTTACTGTTCCTTGTTTTTATACTTTGAGAGGGATCAGCCATGTAGCCCAGACTGACCTCAAACTTGCAATCCTCCTGCCTTAGCATCCTAAGCACTAAGACTCTTCTTGTAAGGCTTATACCTCCTACCTTCCTCAGTTCTCAGATCTAAGCCATAATAAAGAAACTTTGTTTTAACAATTTGCCAACCATTTGTTGGCATTTAACCAATTTCCAACAATTTACAAGACACTCACGTTTTCATTGAAATTTTAAACCACCTTTCTGGTGAGCATTATCTTCAGTCAGAAAGGTTAAATATTTTACCTCTGATCACAGAGTGCAGGCTTACAGCCTATGACCTGACTAAAACAGGAGTCTTGGCACTGTATATTCCACACTTTTTCTTCAAGCCACACTGTAGAAGCACTAGCATTTCTTTAGTAATAATCTCCCTTTTGTTTTTGTTGTTGTTTTAGATTTGGCCAATTGGAAGAGAAATCAATTGTAAGTGCTTAAAGACGTTGTCTGTCTCTGAGGATAGAAGTATCTGCCTGCAGCCAAGACTTCATTTTGATGGAAAGTACATTGTCTGTAGTTCAGCCCTTGGTCTGTACCAGTGGGACTTTGCCAGTTATGATATTCTCAGGTAATGTTTCCTTGGGCCGGCCATGTGCTCTGCCTTTGAAAGTCTGTATAGTTCAGCAGTGTAAAGAGAAAACTAAATATCTGAGTGTGCAGTCAGTGTCTTCTTTTGGAAAGCACTACATCAGTTAACAACAGGGTTATATATTAAGTATAGCACTCAGGCAAATGTTTTAGAAGCAAGGGAGAAGCTGGGCATGGTGGAGCATGCCTTTAATACCAATACTCAGGAGGCAGGCGGATCTCTGTGAGTTTGAGGTCAGCCTGGTCCACAGTGTGAGTCCAGGCCAGCCAAGGCTACACAGAGAAGCCCTGTCTCAGACAACAAAACAAAACAAAAAAAAAGAAGCAAGTGAGAAAATATCATACAGTGAAACCTGAAGATCAAAACTCACCCCTCCCTTACTCGGAATTGCTAAGCCCCTTCTTCCCTTTTAGGATTCAAGACCTGTTTTCTGGAGAATGAGAGGCATAGATAGGAAGACCTTTCTAACCTCCTTAGGTCTATTTTGTGTGTGTTGGAGGGGGGATTCAAGACAGGGTTTCTCTGTGTAGTCATGGCTGTCCTGGAACTCTCTCTGTAGACCAGGCTGGCCTCAAACTTAGGAATCCACCTGTCTCTATCTCCCAAGTGCTGGAATTAAAGACATGCACCACCATACCCAGCCAGATCTAATATTTTAAATTCGACTTCATTGTCAGTTGCGCTTATACATTGTTATTTGGTCCTGACTTCCAGTACAGTCTAGTCAGTAAGTGGCCTCATGTTGACTAGTAACCAGTTAAACTATGATTCATTTCCTCCAAAGAAATTTCATAATCTGTTTCAATGACAGTTTTGTGTCCCACTGAATACTGTTGATCCTTCCTAGGAATTGAAGTTTACGTTGGCGTGTTTGAGTATAGTCTCTAGTACTGCACACCCTATTAACAGTTTAGTTAGTATTCCATAGAATAATTTAGGAAACATAGAATAGAATAGAATAGAATAGAATAGAATAGAATAGAATAGAATAGAATAGAATAGAATAGAATAGAATAGACTGAACATTGCTGTTACTGTTTTTATAAATGACAAATTCAAAGTCAGCTTATATGGGATCTGGTTATACTCATAGGACTTTGAGTTCCATCTCTCTAGTTTTCATTCGTAATTGATAGGACTTTGAATCCTTGCCTGGGCTTCAGTTCCTATGTCTTAAAATAAGAATGCAAATGATTAAATAAAATGGTTTTTAAAATGAGAATGTTAAGTTCATCTGTTAGATCTTTCAGGCCCGGATGGATATTCTGTGTTTTTACAAACTGATCAAACCCCACCTTGCCTCTGCTTGCCCCTCCTTTTTATAAGTGGCTGATCTTTGTCTTCAGTTTTCTTTTTATCAAAAATTCTTAGTGGTTTGGGAGTTTTAAGTTGCTATAGCAAAGATGCCTTCTGCCTCATGACCCCAAACTTTCCTCCTCGTAGGGTCATCAAGACACCTGAGGTAGCAAACTTGGCCTTGCTTGGCTTTGGAGATGTCTTTGCCCTGCTGTTTGACAACCACTACCTATACATCATGGACTTGAGGACAGAGACCCTAATTAGCCGCTGGCCTCTGCCAGAATACAGGAAATCAAAGAGAGGCTCCAGCTTCCTGGCAGGCGAATCATCCTGGCTGAATGGACTAGATGGGCACAATGACACAGGCTTAGTCTTTGCCACCAGCATGCCTGACCACAGTATTCACCTGGTCTTGTGGAAGGAACATGGCTGAAATCAAGAGCTACCACCATTGACTTGACTTTGGGTGCCAGGGCTGCGGGTTTTGGGTGCAACGTCTGTGTAGCAGCCAACTGCATGAACCAAAGTTCTCACCTAAAGGTATCATCACGCAGTGCACAATCATTTATCTGTTTGCCAGGGCTGGGGCGGGGAGGGCCTGTTTTTACTGACATACACCGCAGCATGCTAAGGGGATACACCATTGACTTCATTTGTACTTAGTTATGTTGGTCAGTATAAGAGGTTGCATTTTTGGATTTATCTTTCTGAGTGGAATATTGAGTAAAGAAGGTTAAATGACTCACTAATTGGTTGCCCATAAAATCACATAGACTCTGTTATTAAAGCTTTTTCCCACAGCCTTTGTTTGAAATTGAAGCAAAGGTACTATAGCAACTTTTTTCATACGGGGCTTGGATTTTACAGGAGCCACTGTTAAAATACTGACCCCAGTGACATTAACTTTCTACTAGATACCATTCTACAAAATGTCTTCCAATGCATATCTGAATCTACTTGTTGACTATTGGGAGCCTTGTTGTGACCACAGTTCTTGACAGACGCAGGGCTGGCCCTGGTTAAGATGTAAGCTTAGTTTACGTGTGAAAAACTGGTCCCCAACCCAGCTGGTGGCACAGAGGTGACCTGGGGTGATATGACTCCTGAGCTGAAAGACTGGTGACTGGCATTACTTCAGTCATGTGCTTTCTCTGGCCCGTTTCCTTAGATGTGTGACCAGGTAAGAGTTCTCCCAGGCTTAAGAATACGTGTATACACATAAGTATATACACATACGTATCTAGATAGAAAATATACTAGACACTGACAGTTAAGCAAATTAATCTGATAAAACTATTTCTGGGACAGAAAAGAAAAATTCCTTACTAGACTTTTCGCTCCGCCCCTAATTTTTTGGTTAACTACTAAGAAAAACTTCTAAGTAATTCAGTGGTTAAGAGCACAGAGCTCTTGTAGAGGACTTGAGCTCTATTCCCAGCACACATGTCAGGCTTTTTACAACTGCTTGTAACTGCAGCTCCACAGAGATCTAAGGCCTTTGAGGGTGTCTTTGCTCGGGTGCACATACCCCAACACAGACAATAGTGGATATGAGTTCTAGGATAGTTTGGGCTACACTGAGAAACTTGTCTCAATAAACATAACATAAATTTAAAAGCATACAGCAGGAGCTGGAGTGGCTCCTGTTAACAGAGCTTATTACTCTTGCATAGGATTCAGGTTCGATTACTAGCAGCCCCATCAGGTAGCTCATACCACCTATAAATCCAAATCAAATGCCCTCTGCCCTTGCCAGCACCAGCACACACATAGTGTATATAAATTCACACAGGTACACATACATGTCCGTAAATAATAAATCTTTTAAAAATTCAATTCAACCCTCACACCACAGGAGAATCAGTGGTTCAAGGCCAGCTTGGCCAAAAAGGAAAAAGGGGGTGGGGAAAAGGCTGGAGAGATTGCTCAGCAGTTAATCAGTCTGTGCGGAGGACTACATCTTGTGGCTCACAACTACCTGTAACTGTAGCTCCAAGGTGACCTGGTGCCTCTGGCCTCCAAGGGCACCATGTACATATACCCACAAACATTAATTAGAAATAAATCTTACTTGTTTTTAAAGAGGAAAGAAAAGAAAAGGCAGAGCACAGCCAAGCATGCTGGTTAGGATACAGCATTTGGGAAGTGGAAGCAGAGGATCACAAGTTCAAGGTCAACCTCAGGTACACAGTGGGTTGGCAGGCACCAGGAACTTTTTTTTTTTTTTAAAGATATATTTTATGTGTATGACTGTTTTGCCTGCATGTGTGTCTGTGAAATGCTTGTGTACATGGTGCTTGCAAAAGCAAGAAGAGGACATCAGATCCCTTGGAACTAGCCTTACAGGAGGTTACAAACTGTCATGTCCTTGCTAGGGAATAGAACTTCCAAGTCCTCTGGAAGAGCAGCCAGTGCTTTTAACCAGAGACATCTCTTTCCAGCCCCAGGAAGAACTATCTTAAGATCCTATATCAGAAAATAAACAAAACAAAATTACCAAGCAGAAAGAAGAAACAAAATGACTTAAGAGTCAGCTGGCTGAACATGAATGCCAACTATGTAACATATAAGTTAGGTACTTTCATTGATGTCTTAAACATTTTGCATACTTTGTTGGCTGATATAAATATCAACTTCATGTACCAAATGAGAGAAAAAAAACACACAGAGAAAAATCTTCCCGAAAGAAATATAATTCACCAACCAAAAATGTAATTTTTTTCTTAAAAAAAATAGCTTTAAGCCCATAGTTTAAAATTATAAAACAGTATGTAATTCAAATGATGTGGAGTTTATGCACTCATTGCATAATAAATCAAAGTTAATGGAATAAGATAGTCACTGGCTACCATCAAATAAACAATGGGGACCTAAACACTAGCTTTAACACAAGCAAAGCTAGAAGCAAAGAAAAAAAAGGTTTGTTTGGTTGTTTGTGTTTTTTTTTTTTGGAGACAGTCTTGTATGTACACTTGGCTGTCCTAGACTCACTTTGTAGACCAGGCTGGCCTCAAACTCACAGAGATCCACCTGCCTCTGCCCCCTTTCCCCCAGAGTGCTGGGATTATAGCCGTGCACAACAGAGACCTGGTACAAAATACTTTGAACAGTGTTATACCTAAGGCTTATTTTCTTTACATTCATTCCTTTAACACTCATTGTCTTTTTCTTTGGTGTGGGTGAGGGTGGAGTCTTTTTTTTTTTTTTTTTTTTTCCCGAGACAGTATTTCTGTGCAGCCGTGGTTGTCCTGGACTCACTCTTGTGCACCAGGCTGGCCTCGAACTCCGAGATCCACCTGCCTCAGCCTCTAGAGCGCTGGGATAAAGGTGTGCTCCACCGTGCTCCTTACCAATCCTAAACTGAACTGAGTGAGTGAGTGAGACATCCTTCCGAAAACCAAGAAAATGACACCCTGAGTTCTGGGGGGGGGGGGGGGGGGGGGGGGGGGAGCAGGGGAAGAAGGGGAATACCTCAGAGGTCATAAAAACATTTGAACTACTTGTTAAGCAATCGCTTATTCACTTAAACAGCTCAACAACGTGCTAAGAAATGGGATCCACACCCGAATTGTCACAAGAAAACTACCATTCCTAGGCGCAATTTCGGGGAGTGAAGTGGAGGACACTGACATTCCCCCCATTACTGCCTCACCGATCCCGCCCACCGGCTTCCCACCTCTCAGGACTTAGACACTGCGGCCGCGTCCCTGGGGCAGACAGCAGCTCCTGTCACCTCTGCTGAGAGGACCCCATCCCGAGGGCACTGCCCGCTCGCCCGGGCTCGTCCCGGGGAGACCGAGCGAGTTAGAGTCTTTAAGCAGAGCTGCATGGGCTCGGAGTCCTGTGGGGGACAAAAGGTCGCGACATCCCCGGGGTCTCCCCTCAGGGAGCCGGGGCCGCATTCGGGGAATTCGGGCTCCCCTGGTTCTGGACATCGCGCCGCGCCGGACCGAGCCACGCCGCGGAGCGCCCTCCGCCGCGCCGGCACCGGGCGCCGGCAGGGGTCCGGCAGAGGGAGAAGGGCGGTCCGGAGGGCGCCCACAGCCGGAGGGGGCTTGCCTCGCAAGCTGGCGGCCTCCGGCCCGGCTCACCTTCAGGTCGTTTTCGGGAAGGTACTTGCACTGCCGCGCTATCTCCACATACTTGTCCAAATCCAGCGGCGCCATTTTAAGAACAAGCAGCCGCTGCGGCTTCAGCAGCGAAGGCAGCGGCGGAGGCCGAAGCCGGAAGCCGGAAGCCGGAACCCTCCTTACGCCACGTCCGACCCGTGAGCGGCGTCTGCGTAGCGACTTCAAAACCAGCCCCGCTTCTTTTCCGCGCCCCGACACGCCCCGCGCGCCCTCAGGCGGAAGTCTTGGGTCGCGGGTCTCCAGGAGAACGCGGCGGTCCTGCTGGTGAAACCTGCGGGGACCTGAAACGGGCCGTCTGCCGCGGGGAGTGCTGGGATTTGTGGTTTTATTGACATGCTTTTCCTCAAGTCGGCCCTGCAACAGACTTGACCTCCGAAAAACCGGATGAGGCTCTTTCTAGGGAAGATCACGAAGTGGAAGCACCCTGGCAGATCTTCGGTTAAAGTTAGGGTTGCAGCTACGGTCTTCCCAGCGCTAGGGAAGACCTTGCCAACTCGTTTGAAATAAATTTAACATCCCCAGTTCTCCGGCTTGGAAGATAATCTTGTAGGCAGTTAGAATACCAGTGACCCCACCAGCTAAAAATCTTTATCCTCGGGGCTGGAAAGATTGCTCAGTGATTAAGAGCACTAGTTGCTCTTCCAGAGGAAGGATTGTTCTATTACCAGCACCCACATGGCTGTTCACAAGTCCTGCGAGTCCAGTCCCAGGGGATCAGACACCCACTTCTGGGCACTGCCTACATGTAGTGCAGAAGTATAGTTGCAGGCAAAACAAATAGAATAATAAAACAATACAAATAATGTATAAAAACTGTCCTCAACATGAATTTTATTTCTCTTAGGAAATATAACTGCTGGTAAACATATATGCACATATACAATAAATATAATACATTGTAAATTTCTAGGATGCCAGAAAGTGATAGTTGTTAAGGAAAACATCCCAGCGCAATAAGGAAGATGGGTTGACACAGTATTAAGGATTAACCTGGGAAAGCCAGGCATGGTGGCCTATGCCTGTAATCCGGCACTCTGGGAGGCAGAGGCTGGCCGATTGCTGTGAGTTCTAAGGCAGCCTGGTCTACAAAGCAAATCCAGGACAGCCAAGGCTACATAGAGAAACCCTGTCTCGAAAAAAAAAAAAAAAAAAAAAAAAGACTTAACAAATTAACCTGGGCTGGAGAGATGCCTCAGCGGTTAGAAGCACTGACTGCTCTTCCAGAGGACCTGGGTTCAAATCCATCCTAGCACCCCATGGCAGCTCACACCTGTCTGTAATTCCAAGATCTGACACCCTCACACAAACATAATACATGCAATTATTATACAAAATACCAATACACATAAAATTTTTAAAAATTAATTTAAAAAAAAAGAATTAACCAATCAACCAGCCATAGTGGAGCACACATTTGACCCCTGCGCAGGTGAGGCAGGTAGGTAACAGTCAGGTGGATAACAGTTCTAAGATAGCCTGGTGTATGTTGCAAGCTGCAGGCCAACTGAGAGACCCTGCTCAAAAAATAAAATAAAATAAAAAAGTTGGGAAGGTGGAAAGTCGTAAGGAAGATACCTGATAAAGCTTGCCTAGCGCTTTTGGAAGGAGAGCCATAGTGGCTAGATATCAGAGAAAAAAGGAAAACATCTATTTTTCTTTCAATGGAAAGG